ACAGACTCAGTGGAATGAAGACATGGCTGCTCAAAGGTATGGTGGAGTGGAAGGGTTTTATTGTAGACATAAGGGAGAGCACAGCCAGAGGTATTTGAAAGAGTCCAGAGCAGGGAGAGAAAATAGAGACTGAACATGGCCCAGGAGACTGAACCCGGCCATAGTGGTGAGGCAGGGCGAGAGAGGGAAAGAAGAGAGAGAGGCAAGAGAAGGGACCAAGTGAGAGAGAGGCTGAAATGGCAGAATTATGAAGGATTGAGAACTTAGGGGAAGGGAAGCCCAAGAACTGAAGAAGTTTAGGGTAGGGGACATGTGGAAAAAAGCTGGGAAAGGAGCCAGGATAACAGCAAGGACTCTGTAATGGGAACTTCCAGTGCTGAGCAAGCATGGAGGCCTGCATGCACCAGTTAGCCATTTGTCCAGGGTTCCTTTTGGACCTGACACAGATCAACTGTTTTTCTGCAGAGCATCTCTGAGTCTCTGCATTATGAACCTGTCAGAGAGTTTCCTTGCCCGGCTTCAGGAAATAAAGATCCTTTGTTTCAAGGGCATTGTGTATGAAACAAATACTCTTGAATGCACTGGGGAAACATTGGGCTGTTCAGCTAGGTTCTGACTAGCATTGGTATGTTCCAGATAGCATAAAGGTACTTTTTAATCTTCAGAGTTAAGGATGGTCACACTTTGTCTAGAACCTCATGGCTAGCTCTTGAGTAATGGCAGATTGAGGTGGTTTTTTCCCCAATGGGCATCTTTGAGTAGCACACCATGAGTCTAACGGCTTTATACTAGCATGTGGCCTTTGGTAGTTGCCTTTGTGCTGGCTAGCACTCAGCTGCTTCCTTTGCCACCAACTTGCCTTCTCAGGGTTTTGAAACCTTAGGCCCAGAGTCAGAAGCTTATAATGTGAAGGTTTTAAAAGACTGCAGTGGAGGATCCCTGTACTGATTGTTCAAAGGGCAGGCAACGTAGAAACAAAATTAGTCAGATCTTGAAATACAACCCAGGATAAGGGTTTCACGAAATTGCTTTGTATATTGTTTTTATGATTTAAGAATATGACAGATGATTTGCACACACACACACACACACACACAATGCTACAGTGGACAGAAAACACTCTGGAATAAATTCAAGTCCTGAAAATAAGAATCATAACAAATCACGACTTCTAGTTCTCCACTCCTCGTCTCTTCTGCCCCCACAGTACTCATAAATTATTTCAACCAAGCAAAATATTTCTCCTGCGTCTTGGAGCAGAATTTACTGCCTCTGCTCTCCATCAGCTCTGCCTCGATTATCAGCTCACTAAATATTTATGGTGGCTTTCTCAAGGTATGAGTTTTCTGAGTTCGGTCCCCAGGGGATAGTGCCGATGGAGTGTGGGATATTCCAGCTCCATGTCTCCTCCACGCTTCACTGGTGCCGGCTCGGAGCCATTTCTGCCATCGTAGATTTAAGATTTTATGCTTAAAGGTCCTCGCCCTCCCAAAAATGATAAAGAAAACTTAGTACGTTCCAACATAGAAGGCATGGCACTTAACAAAGCATGCGATTCAGCCCTGTAGCATTAAAGGGAAACCTTAGGTGGTGGTTGCAGAGCTTGTCCGGGAATGAGAAACTGTCCTGGCAGGGCTCGGTAAAGAAACTACCTGACTGAGAGTGGGGCATAGCGTACACGTGTCTAGCCTAACAGCTGAAATAATTCCTGCCCCTCTTATCTATATAAATTCAGCGCTGTATTGGTATGCTGGGTAACTGACCATCTCTGAAGAATGTGGGCTCTATGAAAGCAATTCCCAGGCAGTGATCCCATTTTTAAAGATCAGTAACACTGCTTATGGTATGAGCAGTAGATTGGTTGCTGGCTGCACACCAGACATCCTCTCTGTGGCCTTCTGGAGGGGTGTCCCTCATTTCTTCACTCAGCACCCCAAAGCCTTAAACTCTTTTCAGGGCCACTGAATAGAATGGACCTAGCCTTTCTGTTCATAATGTAAGGGTAAGTTTTATCACACACACACACACACACACACACACAGAGAGAGAGAGAGAGAGAGAGAGAGAGAGAGAGAGAGAGAGAGAGAGAGAGAGAGGAGAGGAGAGGTGGGGGAGTCTTTAAGCCTATTCTTTTTTTTATAAGCTGTAGCCTATCTGTTCTTTGTAATCCCATGGAAACCTAAAACCTGAAATGCCGGTGGAAAGAGCTAGGATTTATTTTATGTATTAAAAAGAAAAATTATCAGCCAAATGTTTCCACAGTCCACCTGGGCTGGGGAAAATTCTAATAGCCTCCACCAGCATCATTACAACCACCAGGCAACCAGGCAGTAAGTGAGACTCGGACTGGGGAACAGACGTCTTATTTTAAAGTCCTCCGAGGGAAAGTTGCAGTTCTATGTGGGAAGCAGCTCTTCTGAGGCCTGTGGGAAAGGATTCCGGAAATAAACACAACTCTTTCATTATTCGTCGTGAGCGTAGCAGTCCATCCAGAGTCTAGTCCCATCAACATGAGCTACTGGTGAGGCAAAGATCTGTAGCAAAGCGGTCCTGTCTGTTAGTTGAGGACCCGGGGTGGAGGGAGGTTGGGTAGATCTTCAGATAGGTAACTCTGTAGGATAAACATCATTGTTGTTGCTTGAGATGAAAGGCGATTGTTAGCCCAGAGGTCAGGAGGCTGTGCAGGTGTGGGAGTCAATGATCCTGGCACCATGGTAAATTAGCTTTTGACTCCAACATAGGGACTGGGCTCAGGGACTCATGATGGGCAGTGTGGGTGGCAAATTGAATGGCCTACAAACCGTGAAGTCATAGCAGAAGAAGGAAAGGGACAACGCTTTGAGAGTGAGACTTCAGGTCACCAGAGCAACACCTTGGTCACCAAACAATAGCTGTACCTTCCTGAACAGAGAGTGTCTGCTCATTTCTCTCTAATCCTCATCCTTCTTTGGGACTCAGGTGACTGTACTGAGAATGGCTGCAGAGAAGGGGAGAAAGCGAAGGGAGAGGTAACAGTGCCGGGAGTATGGGTGAGATTAAATCGCTGTCACAGCAAACGGAGGATGACGCACTGGACAGGGATTAGGTAATTTCACAGCAAAGCACCCACAAAAGGAGGGGTGTTAGAGACAAGGTCAATGTGCTTAGCCTTTGAGGGTAACACCACGGGCAGGGAGGTGCCTTGTTTAAGTCAACTATGCATCCTTGATAAACCTTGCACTGTGTGGTGGGTGGTGATGCACAGAGGATACTGATGGGAGGATGCTTTCCTGCCTTACCAATGAAAAACCTAAAGGGAAACCCCTGCCCTAAGACACCCATGATGGACAAGTGTTATGTGAGGACTTCAGTGTTTATCGTCTGGCTCTCTTAACCACCAACATAGAAGCTCAGATCTCCATGGCTAGGGGACATCTGTGATCCCACTCAAGGGCAGACCTGAGTTAATTTATGTGTTAATCCTTTAAAATCAACCCCAACTCCCAGGTAATAAGCCAGAAATTAATGGCTTGTCCCTTATAAAAAAAAAACATTTTACATGGAAATATCAAAAGAAAAGAAAAATGTCCTGAACACTGTCAAGCTTGCCCTTCTTTTGATAGGGCGTATTTTGATTCTTATACGAAACTCCTCTCAAATCCTTTGATGAACTTTGGAATGTGCTGGGGCTAAGTGAAGGAGTCACCTGCCTGGCCTACTGATCCTCTGAACCTCTACTGGGAGTGAGATCGCACTTAGTCAAGCAGAAGCTTGTGTCTTGTTAGGGTGCCACTGATGAGAGAGCCACCATGGCATCCATCATAGCTGCGGTGTCACACTCCACAAGCCATGCTGGACTATTCTGGGATGTGCTAGGAGAATAACCTACTGAGAAGGTAATCTAGGCAATGAGTTTAACCCACAGTGGTTGTCTGTCGCCCTTGGGAATGGGTGGGAGTGTACCACCAGAGACAGCTGTATAGGCTCTCCTGACGCTGAAGAACTTATTAAAATCATAGAGCCCAGAACTAGAAGGCTGGAATGGGTGTCCAGTGGTCCTTCTGCTATTCTCTATTTCTGCCTAAGTAAGGCCATCCCTTTAATATTTGTATAAAGAGAGGACTGTGCAAAGGTCACAGCTGACGCGACACTGAACTGACCTTCTCAGCCTGGCTTCCTGCCTCTCCACTCCTAGCCACACTCCATCCCCCACCGATCCATGAGGTTTCTATCCTTGAGAGCGTGCCCATAGATTACCTAAACTGTCCAAGCACTGCAGAAGGCGCAGTGAGTCTTAGGAAGCTCTCCTTGTCTTTCCCATCACCTCTCTCCCTTTCTATATGAAAAACAATTCTATTCCCTCCATAGTCACCCCTGGCCTTCACTTTCCGGTCTCCCCCTGCTTCTCTCCTGGGTTTAGAATAAGACAGATGAATGGGAAACTGGCTAAGTCTCTCCCTAGTCATCTCACCTTGACTGAATTCCCATTGATCTCTCTTTACCATGCCCCAGGATTTGGGAAGAATTGTCTCACTCTTTCAATGGTGTGGGGACCTCATTTTCATCTCAATGCTGGGCTATAAAGTAGTATAGACACAGAAAAAGTCTAACTCCTCTGACCTTACCTTTCTCACTTTAAAATAAAAATGAGCAGTATCCATTTTCTTAAGCAGTTAAAGAGGTTAAAAATTATCATAGAAATGGCTTGACTCTGAAGCACAAAAATCATGCAAAGCATTAACTTTATTATTGGGATCACTTACATAAACTCCAGGCAAATTGTTCCTGCTTTAAGCTGTGTCCAAAATATGACCTCGTTTGTAACATGGATGGGCCTGGCTTGTTTGTGTTTTTTTGTCCTCCCACCAGGTCCCCCACAACTGTTTAGCCCCAAAGAAAATCACACTAGGTCTCCATAAATTATAAGCTGATTGGCCCATTAGCTCTAGCCTCTCACTGGCTAACTCTCACATCTTGATTAACCCATTTTTCTGATCTATGTGAGCCATGTGGCTCAGTACCTTTTTTTCAGTGGGGCAGATTACATCCTGCTGCTTCGGTCATCTGGGCAGGAGTGGGAGGAATCAATTTCCTCCTTCCCAGAATTCTCCTGTTCTCATTCCATCACTCGTTCTCTGAGGACTTTGCCTCTTTGTGGAATGAGCCTGCCAAATAAAATGCCTTGCACAAGCCTTCCCTCCTACTCAAAGTTCATTGGATAGCTACAGTCATGTGCTCTGAGCTGGTAAGTGATCCCTCTCTCTCCAGGGCATTTAGAAGCAGGATTCAGAGACTGTTTCTAGTACTTTTTAAAACACAGAACACATAGATTTTGGTTAAGAGGAGCAACTGTATTTTGTTAAGACACGAGGAAACAAAAAGGAAAAGAAACTGCCAGTATTTTTCTCCTTTCCCCTCCGAGGTTGGACTGTAGACATGAATGCTGCAGCAGGGGAGGAGTTGGGTCTCCACACACTCTAGGTGCTGCAGGAAATCCTCTCGGCTGAGGAAGAGGACACAGCCCATGGCCAGAGTGGCCTTTATTTGCTAGTACGGCCGTGTGGTCTTGCATTGAAATAGAAACAGTTTGCCCATGACAGCAACATCAAGGCCAACCTGACCATAACAGATCAGGGATAAAACAGAGCACTCTGAAATACAGGCTAACTTGGTCCTGGTGAATGATTTTTCTGATGTGTTATTAAAGTGGGTTTGTCAGGTTTTACATTATTTTTGTATACACATTCATCGTGAAGATAAGCCTACAATTTCCTTTTTCTATATTGTCTTCACCTAGTTTTTGTGTCAGAGAAATACTAAATCTTGGCTTTCATTATTAGTTGGAAGATTTATAATCATTTATTGAATGCCATTGCAGGTTATAGATCTGTTTAAGCGGTTTATATCCTCTTTATTTAATTTTGGTGGGGCACATATTTAACCGTTTCTTTTAGATTTTGTACTTTATTAGAATATAGTCTTTCAAAGTATGCCTTAATGATCCTTTGAATTTCATTAGAATCTGTTGTAAATTATTATTTTTCACCTCTAATTTTATACTGGATCTTCTTTCTCTTTCTTTTGATTAGTTTAGCTAAGGGTTTGCTAATTTTATTTATCTCTTCAAAGAACAAACTCTCTGTTTCATTGAGTCTTTGTAATATTTTTTAAATTGATTTATACCCTGATTTTTATTATTTCTTTCTGTCTACTGATTTGGGGTTTGGCTTTTTTTTAGTCTTCTAAATCTTCAAAGTGTATTAGTAAATTATTTATTTAATATCAATCGACTTTTAATTATTTATTTTACATGCATGAGTGTTTTGTTCACATGTATGTTTGTGCACCAAAGGCATGCCTGAAGCCCCAGAGTCAAGAAGAGGTCATTTGGGTACCCTAGAACTGGAATTATAGATGGTTGTGAGCTGCCATGTGGGTGTTGGGCATTGAGCACAGGTTCTCTGGAAAATCAGCCATTACTCTTAACCACTGAGCCATATCTCTAGCTCTAGATTTAATTTTTTTCATGTAGACAATTATAACTCCAAAATTCCATCCCCAATTGATATGTCTACAGACAGCCCCTCCATCTAAGGATCAGGGAACATCATGGAAGTGGTGCCAGAATGATTGGCAGAGCCAGGGAACCAGAACAACTACTGCAAGATAGTATCTTCTAGACATTACATGTACGCTCCACCAATGAAATACCCACCACAACATTGCCTACCCAAGATCTAGACAAGATAGTGTAGACATGGCATGGATGCTCCACCCACGAAATATCAATCGCATCATTGCCTTTCAAGACCTGTACAAGATCATATGCCATGATAGATGGGGAGGGAAAGTTTCATAATGCCCCGCCCCTAGATGCATAGTTACAGACTGTCAGTTAGCTATTAAGAGAATTAGAATCAGTTAATCAGTTTTCTTCGGTGATGAGACCTCTAAGGGCTTCCCAATCCTATATGGTCATCCCTAAGCATATGTATTATGAGCAACACAAATTGGATTTGTATGTGTGTATGTAAGTAATGCAGATATAACAATAATTATAGAAGAAGAAAGGAGAGTGTGGGGGGACATGGAGAAATTCAGGGGACTAGAGAGATAGGTAGGTAATGATGTGGATGCTTTGGGCTCACATGTGAAATTCTCAAAATTAAAATAGAAACAAAAAACTAAACAAAAACAAAATACCAAAGAAACTGAAAAAAGGCAGTGGAGAAAATACTCCAGCACACAAATAGTGCTGGAAAATTGGACATTCCCTTGTAGAAGAATGAAACTAGATCTCTGTCTCTCAACTACTCCAAATCCAATTCAAGGGCATCAAAGGCCTTAATGGAAAACCTGAAACTCTGAAACCATTGTGGGAGACACCTCAAGATAGGGGCATGGGCATGGACTCTCCAGGAATGACTCCAGTAGCTCAGAAGATGAAAGAAAGGCCAGTGAAATGAAAGAAAGTGGGATCGCATAAGATGAAAGAGTTTCTGCATAGCCGAGGAACAATTGAATTAAGACACAGCTTAAAGAATGAGGACAAAATTGTGCTATGTAGACATCTGATAAGTAGGTGGAGCTTTGCAAAGGTCACCACGCCCTCTTATCAAAGAACCTTATCAGCAGAAGGGACCTTGAAAGAAGTGTACCCCTCCATTCTGCAGGTAAAAGCAACCAATTCAAGGTCACACAACAAAACAGAGTGCTTCTCAGGGTTAAGAGTAGAAAGCTGATCTTCTGACTCCATAGTGTTCTTTATGCTCTGGTCTGTTCACATGACCTCATTTCAGTGTAGATTTTTGTCATACTCCTGTGTAAAGTTTATATAGATTAGACCACATCATAGGCGATGAGCGAGCATTTCTTGTTGCTCTTAGCACCCATTGGCACACTGTGTTTGTTTTGATAAGAGATTTCAAATCACTTTAGCAGATTTCTGTGCAGGGAGTCCATATATTACAGACAATATCTTCAATGGTGACATGTTTTTATCAAACATGAACCAGAACATGTTTGGGGATGTCATTGAGAAGGATTTGGAAGTACAAGGTGAGCCTGGGCTCTTCTGCCTTCTCCATAGTAGCCTCTGAGTTGATAGTTTCCTGTATACAGCTCCTGTGATCAGTACTTCCCAGTCAAACAGCAAGAGAGACCTGGGGCTCCAGTTCATGTTATAAGAGAACAGGATCTAGTTTCTCCAGTTTAAGGAGAGCCATTTATCAGGGAAAGAACGTTCTTCCCATTGTGATGATACAGTCTCTTTTGTGCTGTATTGAAACAATAACGTGTGTACAAAATCAATACTGATTTAATGGTGAAGCTGAACAGCAATATCGCCCTTGGAAAAATAGACACCACTAATAAAATAAAAGAAAGTTTAGCTGGATGTTGTCCTCAACATTTTCAAATCCAGAAGAATTTTCCAGAATCATAAATTTGCGCATCACAAACTGAAGTCCTCTTTTGTTCTAGGCAGTATTAATATCATATTTGATAGAATAAATTCTTTCTACTTTAGATGAAAGCAATCCTACATAATAATAATACCCCTGGTTTTCAACATCAGACATCTTACTTAGCAAACTCCATCTTGATTGGCAGAAGCTGTCAGTTACTGTGGTGGTTTGAGAAAGAATGGCACCCATAGGCTCATAAATTTAAGTGCTTAGTCATCAGGGAATGACACTATTTGAGAAGACTTAGGTGTGGCCTTATTCGCATACCTATGATCTTGTTGGAAGAAATGTGTCACTCTGTGGGTGTCTCTACAAACACCAGGGCTGGCAGAATAATGATCCATGAGAGGCAAGAAGGAAATCCGGTTCAACATGACTTAGCCAGTGTTGGCTCAAACTTCTAGAGTCTGACACGGGCAGTTTATTTTAGACACATTTACGTATAGTACAATTTGGAAAGAAGTTTCCTGGTGTAACACAATCCCATGTGTACAATGAGGCATGATTACACAAAAACTCTTCTCAAAGTACATATCACTTCTGCCATGAAGATGGGTTCTAGAGATAAGATACATGTGTTATCTAAACAGCCAGGGGAGGGTCTGGTATGGTCTCAGTTGGGCTATTAACCACCTCTAGTCTTGCCTGTGTAAGCTTGGGGGAGCCCCTAGTCATATAGATGATTCAAAGGTCACCTAGACTATTAGCCACCTCATGTTCTACTTGTGGGAGCTTGGTATGGCCTGGCCTTATGGATAGCAGAGATCGTCAGGTTCCTAATTAACTCTATCCCCAGCCTTCTGGGTGGAAAAACAGGTCTGCCTCTCTCCTGTTGAAGACACAATCCTGTTTGTTTAATATTCCTGGTTTTTCTAGTGCTTATATGTGAGTGCAAGAACTTTTGTACCCCCAGCATCACTGGGGGTAGGTTTTGGAGTTTCAAAAGCCCAAGCCAGGCTCAGCATATCTCTGTCTCTCTGTCTGTCTGTCTGTCTGTCTGTCTTTCTTCTACCCTCTGCTATTAACCAATACTTAAATGAAGTTTCCACAAACTCCTCCTATGTGTGTAAAGGCTTATTGTTTCTTTCTCTGTTATTTCCAGTGATTGAAATAAATACAGCATGAAAACTTTTTTGTATAAATTAACGAATAAACTAATCAATGAATCAATAAATCAATCTAATTTATTTTTAAGGGATAACTCAATTCCAAAGGACATGGATGTATCATTTAATAGAAAAAAATAAAGAACAAAGGAGAAAAAGGAAAAAATGGACTGGAGAGATATCTCAGTCATTAAAGGCTAGTCTCATAACAATAATAATAATAATAATAATAATAATAATAATAATAATAATAATAATAGTACCTCCAACTTAGCCCCACTTCTTTCTTCTACAGTTGAATCCATTTTTAATCCATCTAGAAGCCTGTTGTTCGTTTTAGAATGAATAATCTTGAAATTAAGAGTAAAACAGTCTCTATTTGCTCTACCTAAGAACATCATATTGCTTCATACTAATCTGTAATTTTATTCATAGTTGAATTTTTAATTGCTTTCCTTGATTGTCTCTCAAGTGTAGATGTGAATGTATCTATTAATCAATTCATACTGGTTTATACGTTCTTCAGAGAGAGAATTGGTCAGTCTTTATGCAATTCGTACATATGGT